CTTTCCCTGGTCAGTCTCTTAAAACCATCTTTCCTCAGGCTGACAAGCGGAGTTTGCCAGATTCAGACAAAGCCATTCTGGATATTCTGGAACACGACCGTAAGGAAGCACTAGAAGATCGTCATGAGTTGGTCAACAAGATCTTTAACCTCCAAGAAGAGATTCGTCATGTGGAAGAGTTGAGAGACAAGGTGAGAAATGGAAGGATAGAAAGGTGGAATATCTCAGGCTAGTGCCCAAAAGACCTCTGAGAGCAATGGAAGTTAACAGTGTGTCATTTCCAGTATCTTGAAGAGAAAGAAGATTTGGAGTTAAAGTGTTCAACACTAGGAAAAGACTGTGAGATGTACAAGCACCGAATGAACACTGTGATGATACAGCTAGAAGAGGTGGAAAAGGAGCGAGATCAGGTATCTTAACAGTTAAAGTGGGGAAAATTAGTAGCAAAAGCCTGTATCTTATGTGTCACTTTGGGGAATTGTGGGTTATTGGACCCAAAATACCATTAAAAAATCAGCAGTTACAAGAAATTGTTACTTGTTGGAATTTGCATTACAGTAATTTAACACAGAATAATACTGGGTTGTTTCTACTGTGTAGCATTTGGCAAGCAGGGCCAAGATCTTAACAACAGCTACTGCAGGCTTTGTATTATAGTGTCAAGTCCTCTGGTTTGCACTCTGGAGCATTTTGCCACCACCCAAGAGGGAGCTGGCAATGAAGCACCCTCATCATTGTGATTTGTAATGGTACTACTGTGGCACATCCTGGTCCTAAGTAAGTGCTGTGTTAACAGGTGAATGGTTACCAGTTCTGAAGTCCCTGTTCCAAACACCTCATGAACAAAATCAACAGGAGAAGGTGCAAAAGAGGTTTCTTCTCTCCATTGCAGGCATTCCGCTCGCGTGATGAGGCTCAGACACAGTATTCACATTGTCTGATTGAAAAGGATAAATACAGGAAGCAGATTCGAGAGCTGGAGGAGAGAAATGATGAACTCCGAATTGAGGTGGTTCGGAAAGAAGCTTGTATTGTTAACCTGGAGTGCAAGCTCCGACGGCTCTCTAAGGACAACAACTTTCTCGACCAGGTAGGGCTGAGTTAGCCAGACATGAGTTCTTTATTCAAGACTTGCTTTTCAGAGCATTCTGGTGTGGAAGGGAGAGAGGACTTCTTTAATTCCCTCCATGAGTTACTTGAACAAAATAACCTCCTTCTACTCAATGTCAACAGCGTGAGTTCTTCAGTACAACAGGGTTCAAGTTGTTTGTGACATGCATGTAGCTTATCAAAGGCTGGAATTCCATAACTTGATTTTAAGTGGGAGGGGAAGAAATGCAGAAAGACAATTAATTTCTACACTGGGGTAGAACCTACAAATACTTTTGAGGAATGTGCCCCAGTGAACAGAAATCCCCACAGATGGCAATCTAGATTATTGATTTGGGTCTGGAACCATGTTCTGAGTGAGCTTCTGATGCACTGGAGTCACAGGACATTCAGTCGGGCTACTCTAAAGGGAGGTCATGAGGAGTTGTACCAAACTGGTCTCAAAGTAAAGTGTTTCCTTCTGATCTTCAGAGTTTACCACGGAATCTACCCGTCACCATTATCTCCCAGACGTTTGGGACTCCTGGCCCAAAAGCCAATGGTCAGGAAGCAGATGACTCCTCCACTTCTGAAGAGTCTCCAGAAGACAACAAATTCTTCTTGCCTGATCAAGCTCGACTCAAGAGAAGATTGAATCTAAAGGGAATCCAGGTGTGTCTGAATATAAGGCTGTAATGATATAGTGCAGGGACTGTTCGAACTAAGAGACATAATACATGTTGCCGTCATGCCTCCGGAAGCGCTGTGCTGTGAAGATAAGAATAGATTTGTATACGATAGTGAGTTGTCAGGTTTTGCCCTGTGGTGATTTGCATCTTGAAGAGCAGGTATAATAAGGCTTCACAGACCATTTTCTGCCCCTTCTCCCCATTTTGTGTATTCTCCTTGCTCCTGCTGCTCATTCACATCCTTGGAGCGTTGTCAATAAATTGATTCTTTGCCTCCTTAATGGTAGTGGGAAAAAAAATGAAGTCCAGCACACCAGTACCTGAAGGTAGATAAAGAAGCATTGGTGGGAAAGCTCCCATCAGCCGGAAGGAATAATAGAAAGAAATGGACACAATCTAGAGCAAAATTAGCTGCCTAATTTAGAATTGAATTATAGCAATTTCCTCTCACGTAAGAGTAAGGGGTAGCATGAGTCAGGTCCACAATTTCCCCGAGCAGCTACATTCATACAGGTACTATCTGATGAACTGTAAAAAAATACACAATCTAACATTTGCGGGGTTGAGGTTCTCTTTCCTCTGCGTTTGAATTCTGCCTGCCCTTCATAACTTTTCTGAGCTCTGACTGTCATTATTACTTATGGCAATAGAGCTGCATTTTCCACATGGCACACTCCAAAAGGATGCCTGTGTTGTGTCAACAGCTGCCTGAAACCAGTCCCAAGGCACCCACTTCACCTTTTGTCTCTTTGCTCCCTCAGCAGAATCTGGATATTGCAATGTATTTGGGCCAGACTTTTAAAAGTAGTTTGGTAGCTAACTCTTGTTCACTGCACTGGCATTTAGATACCAAATTGTCTTCTAAATTTTGGGTCCTGTTTAAAGGATGGCAAATATTTGGCAGCAGAACAGTGAAAAAAGGGGGTGAAAATATCTGTGGCAAATATTCTGCATTTATGCTTGGTTTTGTCCTTTTTCTTTTAGATAAATCCAAGAGCTAAATCCCCTGTCAGCATGAACAAAACGTCAGAGTTTCAAGGTCAGAAAGAGCACCCATGTCCTTATTCCTTTTCTGTTGCTTTGTCTCATTCACTTAATCTCTTTAAGTTGTTTTAACAAATATGCCAACCAAGGAACTTCTTAACTAAGTCCAAGTCAGTAAAATAGACAGTTTCTGTCATAGTTAACAATGTTGTTATTTAAAGTAGTCAAGTGTTCTACCTGAATGTCCCCTACATCCAAAGATACCTCCACAGACGCACAATATTACATCCCATAGACTACCTAAATTTTCTGTTTACTCGATTTTCCTTTTAGTGTATAAAAACCTTAGTCCCCTGTACTAGAAGTCTTTACACTATTGTCTTTTTGCTGTTGGGAAAATCCTTCAAGCTGAAAAGACCTTCATCTAGTGATCATCTAATAATTCCTTTGGCAAAAGGGAATGACTTTTAAATGTAAAGCATTGCAGAGGTTAAGGGAAGGGGGTGACCCACCCATCAGCCAGCTGCCAAGTTACCAGATCTGTTGTTGTATACTTGTGTTTGAGCTACTCCCAATTCCTCTTATTTATGTAACACTGTTCTCAAACCAAACACCATCTGAGGCAGCACTTCCGTTATTTGTTATGTGCAGCAGCACGCTCGCTGGTGTACAGAATATGATGGGAAACTGCTGCAAGATATTGCATGCTAAACAGTATGTTTGGTAATGTGCAACATTAGTATAAATTAGACGTGCAGAGGAAGGGAAGGAGGCTGCAAAGACATTCACACTGTGTTACCTGGGGCTGCTGAGGGATCTCAAGCTTCTCAGTCCCTGTCGTAATTCTTTTGCTGTAAAAAAGCATAATTCAGTGAGCCAACCTTATTGCAGGCTACCAGATGATGAAATTAGAAATAAAAAGCCCTTCTTTAATTTGTCAAATAGTATTCAAAGATCTAATAAAAACCTGCAGGACAGAGTTGAAAGAAAATGTTGGCAAGAGGCTGTGCAGAGTGGGGTCTATTTCTGTTCTTTGTTGGGAAGCTGATGGGGAAGTAAAGGCAGCCACAGCTGCAGGGCACAGTGTGCTTGCTGCAGCTTCTGCCCAGTACAAGGAAGGGGAAACAAGATAAGCTGCAATGGAAAGAGAACCCAGATGTTGTTGCAGATCTGTGGAAGAGTCTGTACTGAGATTGATCTGAGATAATTTTCTCTGTGTTTCTCTCTGTTGGTGAGTGCAGCAGTCAGAGCACAGGAGGAAGATGGGGCTGACGCCAGCAATGGCCGCACGGACACAAGTTCCTCTGTTTCCATCAGTAACTCCATCAGCAGCTGTGAAGTCAGCAAGATTGTAAGAAGCCTTCGGATGCCCCTTGCCTGTCTATGACCACCTCCCCTCATGTGGTTTGGAGCTTTCACAGCCCAGTATTAGCACTTCCCTAGCATCCCAGCTGTGATCACATTCAAGGCCCTTGTCAGAGGCTCCCTTAATCCTTTTACCAGCATTTTGTTCGAACCATGTTATTAGCCTTTTCCCAAATCCCACAATTGGCTTATGTTTATTTAAAGATATTTCAAAGGTATTTATGACCTCTCGCTGTCTCTTCATGGCATTTCACATTTACTGTTAGAAGGAAGAGATTTTCTTTAAAAGCTGCTTTGAAATTTGTTTAAGAAACTTTTCAGGGTGGGATTTTTTTCAGTTCTCTATTGCTTTCCCTGTCTATAAGTACCAGTGAGTGAGAAAAGGGGTGCACATCACAGCTGGAAATTTTTGCATACTATAGCCAAATAATTTCTTCCCTGCTTGCTGTATCCCCGTAATCTCCCAAGGTAGTTATTCCATTATACATATGTGAGCACTGACACAGCAGGACAAGCAGACAGAGAGAGTGCTCTTGCAGAGTGTTAATAACAAAGAACAAAACACCTTTCTAGAAGACCGTGAATAATGCTGCCCCAGGAAATTAAAGTTATACCCAAGAATAGCCAGGAAAAAGCTCCCTGTAACTCGTAATAAGATTAGCTGGGTTAGGAATATTCTCTGGAATATCTGTTGGATGTTTAGATGACTTGTACTATCTATCCTCTAGTACAATTCAGAGTTTAGTTTCCAGTGTACTAGATTAATAATTTAACGTATGGAGATCTATATGTTTCTTCCTCATTCTTACTTTTTGTATATATAAGTATATATGCATTCAGCTTTTCATCCTCTTCCTCCTATACGTCAGCTGTGTAATGTAGACCACAGCTCAAGGGTAAAATTGAAGTTACTTGATAAATCAGCCAGTCATGTGGTGACAGACAAAGGTGCTGTGCACATTGCTAAAATGCTGGACTATGTGAATAGGAACGCTCTTGTATGTACCATTCTGTGCATCTAGAATCAGGTTTTCTTACAGTTGTGTGTGCTTCAGTGTGCAGAGCACCACTGGCAAGCTAGCAGGCTAATGCTGCTGCAGGCTAGAAATGATAGCACTGTGAAGACACATAACCTTTCTGTTGCATTCTCTTTTTAAAGCAAACCCTGAGGAACCGCAATGACAGTATCATGTCTACCACTCCTGAGCCGCCGGGAAATGATTCAATAGTGCGACGTGTCAAAGAGGACACCCCTCAGTGCAGGTAGGTGTCTGTGCTGATGAAATACACCCGCAACCTGTTGTCATAAGGAGGAGCTGTAGAACATAGAATCACAGAATGGTTTGGGTTGAAAAGGACCTTAAAGCTCATCGATTTCCAACCCTCCGCCACGGGCAGGGTCACTTTCCACTAGAGCAGGTTGCTCAAAGGCCCTGTGTCCAACCTGGCCTTGAACACTGCCAGGGATGGGACATGTCCTTGTGTCTGTCTCTAACTAGAAAGCTGCTATTAGGCAGCAGGACTAACTTGCTAAACTTCTCAAGGCTGCAGTCCTTCATCCCTCGTTTTGTCCAAAACACTCAGGAGTTCTGATGGTTCACCTGGGATGAATGACACAGTGATACCACTGCTACACTGACTTTTTTAACGTACATAATAAGGAACAGTACTGAAATGACAGTCACAAATGCTATTGGAGAATGTGCTCTGCCTTTGTAGACTGATATGGCTTCACTTTTTGCTTCTCAGCCCCATGCTGCCTGTGTCTGTGTCCTTGTCCTTTCTCCTTCTCCCAAAGCCCCTCCTTCTACTCTGTAAGCTGCCAAAATAGAGCAGAGCTGCTTGAATGTCTGTGCGGAATGGGGGAGGAAGCGGAGGAGGGAGGTGGGTTTTCTCAGGCTCAAGGCTCTGTATCTCAGCATAGCAATGAGGGGAAAGACATGCATCGCCCTCTGCTTCACCTCCTGCTGCAGCTTCCACTTCTGGTCAGGCCATGGCCCCACAGACTTCCCCTGTGAGGGGAATCAGATCAGCAGGCAAATGGGAAGTTAGTGGCAGGAAGGAGAGACCCTGCCTGCTTCACAGTCCTCTACCTGGCACTGACCCCTTTCCTGAAAGGTTTACAGCAACGCAATACTTGGACACACTGTTTTGGTGCCAGTAGCATCAGCATTTGTATTGGAAATATCAGAAGATACAAATACATTCCCTAAAGGTCCAAAGCAGAAGGAGGAAAGAACAAAGCCCAAGCAAACCAATTTAGAAGAAAGCAATACATGAGGAGGTGTTAGATCTTTATTAGATCAATTTTTTTTTTTATCTAATCTTTATTAGAACTTTATTTAGATTTCTAATGCTTTTCAAAACAAACTCATCTCTGGCAGACTGCCACTTTTGCCTCTCTTTCTCTGTGTAAAGCTTTGCAAGACATCTTCCCACTGAGGGCATCCTCAGCTAGTTCTCCCACGTAATTTTCTAGCCTGCTGAGGGAGTTTATTCTCATCTCCCTTAGCTTCTCTTGTATTGTTCTCCAAGCCCCTGTTTTAAGTGTGTTGTGTTAATTCAAGTTGGAGAAAAAGGGTTGTTTCATTAATGAATGTTTCAGCTGTTTAACTTGAAAAGCCTTTGGCATGCCTAAACATTGAAATATTTGCAGTGTATTGCAGAATGCAGTAAAGATTATATGGATACTATTCATCTTGTGGGCTTATTTTACTACAGCTTTCACTATATCCTGTTCTGTTTGTTAAGGCATTGGAAGCCTGAAAATTTTCCTCATATTATACTCTTTGCCACTGGCATGTGAAGGAAGGAACTATCCAAGAGCAGGGTCTGAATGTGGCCTTACTTTGCTGAGCTAATAATCACTGAAGTCAAGTATCTCAAGAGTGTGCTCTGAAGTTCACTGTAGTTTATAACTTTATATTAACCTGCTAAGGCTTTTTAACTTGTTTGTGAAGACAAGCCAAAATAATTGCTATTTGCATTCCACAGTGCAGGTTCCACAGTCCATCTGATCTTAATTTGTGTGGAAAAAGTGAGATTGAGATCATAATTTAAT